ATCTCAATAATGCTAGTGAGAGGTAACAACTTCTAGGAGAATGACAATGGATCAGGGAGTAATGGGATGTATGAAAGATAAATACATGAGCTAAAATAAATAGAATACCATGGACAGACGGGCTCTATTGTGTATAAGTTCCCTCAAAGTAAACTAGGAATCATGAGCTCATAAGAGGTGAATTTCATTTTTAATCTTGGCAAGTGAAAATGTGCATGCAATCATGTGGATTAGGAGACATAGGAGAAACCAAGTCTCACCCAGAATGTTGATCCAGGCGGCAAGCCTGGAAAATTATTGTTACCAAGTAAGTATCATTTAATCAGTGGTATTATTCTGTCCAAATTATAAAAGTGTTCTCAAATTGGAGTCTGTGACCAGGAACATACAAGAAAAAGCCAGAGAAGAGTGAGTCGATGTTTGCCAGCATAGTCTAAGGAGAGGACCCTAGTCCTGGAGATGGTGAGAAAAATCTAGGACCAAATTTACAGACATTCATTGAGCAGCTCTAGCAAGACATTTTGCAGAGTTTAGAGAAGAGAGCTGTCCGACTTTAATATATAAATCAGTTCTCACAAATTTCAACAAAATAAATGCATAGCACAAGAGAAAGAAAGTCATAAACCAACCCATAGCATTTGGGCTAGTTGTTACAGAATGGTGATTTCAGTAGCACATAAAGAATTCTGGAAGGAGGAATGGGTTAAATAGTCAAACTTAGTTTTGGTGATGTCAAGTATCCGGGAAAGTGAGGATACAAATGTGTGAATCTCCAGAAGGTGGAAACAGGCCTGGAGCTCATGAAGAAATACTGACTAAAGAGATCCATTTTATTTGAGGCTGTGAAATTGGTCAGACCTCCATGAGAGCTGAGCATGGTTGAACACACCTGTAATCCCAGCGGTTCTGGAGCCTGAGGCAGGAGAAATGCAAGTTTGAGGCCATCCTGGGCAACTTAGTAAGGCCACAAGCAGCTGTCTCAAATTTTTTTTAAAAAAGGGTTGAGGTTGTAACTCAGTGTAGAGCACCATTGGGTTAACCCCCAGTATTACAGAAGAAAGAGAGAAAGATGAGAACTAGACAGAAATCCTAGATAGGGGAGAAGCTCACCTTAGTTTAACATCTACCACGTGTTGAGTTACACATGGCATCACATTTAATGTACAAAATGCCTTTGAATTGTATTGTTGCACTCACAACAATACAATGAGAAAAAACAGCAAATTCCATTTATAAAAGAAGAAATAGGGGTTCAGACAACTTACACATCATTTTCAAGATACAAGGGATGGCACAACCAGGATATAAATGTCAGTCAAAAAACAGAAGATTCCATAACTTAGCCTTCAAGTACACCTGTTAAAACAGTTGTAAAACTGCTAACATTCACATACTTATTTTAACTTACAAAATCCTTCTTACAAGATTCAAAATGTGAATACAAACTTTTTGAATAGCATAGAAAAGGTATTATTCTCCCAATTTTACATTTATAGAAACATGCAGAAGATCTTATACACCACTCAGTGAGTCATAAATCCAAAAATAAGTAAATGTTATTGACCCTTTACCACATCTGAGAAATGAAAGCTTCTAAGAACCCATATGTACTCAACAAATTTACAATCTAGTTGAAAGAGTAATACCCATGTACATATGAAACTAACAAACCAGATAGTAGATGAAAAACTAGTCGAGTCAGATACATTTTTTTTTTAACATTTAACTTCCCAACATATCACTCTGGCTTTTAAATTGTTCTCCATAAATGAGTCACTAAAGGCCAAATGATTTTAATATTAATCTTCTTTAAGCAAGCTTATTCAAATCTCTATTATTTTCTTGTGCAGTTTTGTCATAAGAATAGTCTAAAATACAGATAGCATCACTAAGTTTTCATGAAGTGCTTGCATGGTCACCCATGTAGTATGTATCTACCTAATCATGCTTATTTACTCCCACTAGGCTATTGATATAGCACATCACAGGGAATGCCCCTGAAGTGTGCTGGACATGCTGCCTGGCTCTGGAGTCAGAAAGATGGGTAAAACATTGTTCTTCCTCCAGAGTGGCAAACGGTGTCACAGGGAAACTGTCCGTTACCACAGTGCTCTCAGGAAACATACTCCAAAGTTTATAGCAAAAAGTACATTTCCAGTGACATATTTCAACATGGAAGAAGAAGAAGGAGAAGGAGAATTACTCTATTTGATTCAGGGAAATTTGAGATTTCTGATTGGGACCAATATTAATGAGATGCTAAATTAGAATCTTTTGGTATATTTCCCACCAGATGAATATAAAACATTTGTTTAAAAAATACTTAGCATATTTATGCAATATTCTGAATTAATCCTTGGTGAATATAGTGGTGTTTTCTTATTGGAATGCATCCATTTACAACTTTTAAAGTTAAAAATAAGAATTTTGAGACTTTTTTTTTTTTTTTGATGGTGTTAGGGATCAAACCTTAGGGCCTTGTACATGCTAAGCAAATGCTCTATCACTAAACTACCCTCATAGCCAACTAGAACAAACAGAGAAATTAAAAAATAGTTAAATAAACAACAATAAAATATTAGAAGAGTTAGATAATAAAATAATAATATAAGAGGAAAATTCTCTGAATATATTAATTATGCTAATATTGAAAGATGTACCTATGCACCTTCAAGTCATTGATAGTCTATAGTTAATTTCACACCAAATGTGGCCCACATCTGCACTATCAAAGAAAATCTTTCTTTAAACTCCAGTAATAGAGTCCATATGATATAGCAGGGAAAAAATGTCCCATGATTAATTCATGCCTCACTTGTAAATGATTTTTATCATAATTATTGTGTGTTTGTATGATGCTGGAACCCAAAGTCTCATGCATGCTTTGAACATTTTACCATTTATCTACATTCCCAGTGCTCATTTTTAGTTTCTTTTGAAGAAAGAAAACATATAACTCTAACAATAGATATTTGAAACATTTATACAGTAAAGTAACATGATAAATATCCCTCCCTCTTCCTTGTTCTGTGTCCTCTCCTGTCCTCTTTCATTAACTTGAACATCATTAATACTGCTTGAATCTATTTGAAGTAGGAATAAAGAAATCTGATAGTGGTTAAGTGCCTATGGGTTCAATCCCCGATTAAAAAAAAATCTGATAAAAATTATTCACACTAAATTGTTAAGAGAGGACAACAACTGGAAAAAATGTTTAGTATGTGGAAATGAATCACTTAAGGTGGAGATTAAGGAAATAGTGGAGAATCATCTTTGTCAAGGCACTTCAGGATACCCCATAAATCACCCACATATGTAACCACCTTTTGTGCCAGAAACAAAACTTCCTTCCTGCAAAAATATACAAGTTTGAAAAATGAAATAGGATGAACACAAGCTGTGTCTATACAACACATTCAGAGAGAACCAGAGAGAAAAATTGAGTCAATGTGATTATGACTGCTATCTTTCTTGGATTTCTTAGAACATCTAATAATAAATATTCAGTCCATTGTTGTTATAAAAAAAAAAAGTTAAAATGACCAAGAAATGGAAGTACAGTGGTCATTTTCCTAGACTACTCCTTATATCTGGACCAAAAATATTATCTATTTTAGGTATTCCAGTAAGTACTTAAGAAAAACTCACCACATATGAGCCACAAAACAGAAACTATAGTTAAGAAAACCAGTGAAAAAAACTCAGCCAGCCATGCTATGGTCCTATATTTTACTCAAGGTGGACATGCAGCCTAATCATGAATATTCCATCTGAATAACAATTATAATACAATGTAACACACTTAAACTTCATATCTTTACTAGGTCTATCTTGATTTATTAAGATCAATTATAATAAATGCATGCTCAACTACAAAAATTCAAAACTGAATGAAGAATCACAAACCAAGAACCTAAACAAGGAAGCACTGTGTGTTAGGAACATATTCACTGTGACACTCAGTGCACACCCAGCTTAACATTCACTAATGGCCGGATAGAAAAAAAAAAAAAAAAAATATATATATATATATATATATATACACATATATATATATATATATATCTTGACTAAAAGACATAGTAAAGAGTTTAAAAGAAGTTGGTACCTGGAGCAAAAGGGTTAAACCAAAATGAAAAAATCAATTTTTAAGAGCAAAGTAAAATCATCCAAAGATTGTATGCTAAAATGATTCTAAACAGACAGAAAGCTAGAAAGTAATGCATTTTTAAATGACAGAATGAGCTAGGCATGGTGGTGCAAACCTGTAATCCCAGCAGCTTGGTAGATTGAGGCAGGAGGATTGCAAATTCAAAACCAGACTCAGCAATTTCGTGAGGCCCTAAGAAACTTAGCAAAACCCTGTCTCAAAATAAAAAATTAAAAAACAGCTGGGGATGCAGCTCAGTGGCTAAGTGCTCCTAGGATCAACCATGTACCAAAAATCAATAAAATAAAATAAATGGCAGAATAGGTGAGCTTTATGTGCTAAACCAGATCCTTTCCTCTCTGTCACTCATTCAGTTTTTTATTGACACCTTACAGAATGCTCAGCATTGTGTCAAGTTTTATTGCCACCTCTTTTTTACTCTGGATTTTTTAAAGGTAAATAAGAGGAATGGGAAGAATATCATAAATGAAATGTTATGAGATACTCACCTAATAAAAGCATGTGAAAGGATGAGTATAAGTTGTGTCTCTATGATGCAAAGTAACTCCTTGAAAAGTAGAAAACCCAGTCATTTTCTGATCTGAGTTGTACCAAATTCAGGTAAAAAGCATAAATCTCCTCTATGACACTCAGAGGTGTGTGCATGTGCATATAATCAGATTAAGCTGGCTCTGCCCACACCTGATGAAGTTGAGGAGAAATTTCAAGTTAAATTTTGTTTAGGAGTCCTTCCCAAACTCATATAAGCAATAATAGTATTAGCCAGAAAATCTGAGGAAAAACCACTATCCTTGAGTGTGGTGATGATCACCAATTCCATATCATCCATTCTAAAACAACTTCCAAAGCTTGAGCATGGAGTCTTTCTCCTACAAGATTCAAGGACCTGCACTCATTCACCAGTGCCCAAGAGGCCCTGACCCTTCACAGGGTCCTGCATGAGATGGTAGCCCATGTCTGCCCACCTCTACCTAATTGACCCATGACCTTTCTCTGTATTTTGAGAAAGCCCCTCTAGGGCTAGGAAAATCTGCTCTTTCCATTTTAAAATCAGCTCAAAATAACTGCTTTTGTCCATCTTTCCTCTTGGTCATTAGTGGATCTAAAAAACAAAAACAGAAAACTTGGTAAGAGAAAACCAGTAAAGATAGCTAAGATTTTTAGAAATACTTTTTTTTTTTTTTTAAGAAATCAAAGGATCAATGATTTTGTTTTTTTTTCGATTTATTTTTTTCTTTTTTTATTGGTTGTTCAAAACATTACAAAGCTCTTGACATATCATATTTCATACATTAGATTCAAGTTGGTGATTTTTAGAAATACTATGAGTACTTTTAATACGAATACTTCTTGCAAAAGTGGAGAAAGGAATGTTTTTATTTTTTCTTCTTTGGTAAATCTGCAATAGGATAAATAGGAAAAGGGGGAGAAAAGAAGTTCAAGATATCAGTTATATATTAGCTTAAAGCATACAAAATCGCATTTTTTTAGTTCCAGATATCTAAATATTTTCAATTCTATATAGATCTATGTAATATTTTCTTCTTAGTAACATATCCTAATTTATTTGGCTAATTTTTTATTAAATTGATTTTTAAATTATCTGTTGCTTGAGGGTCAACCTCTACCTAGATACAAAAACATATGAATTATCAACCTGTCCTCAGAACCCATTAGCATTTGGAATAACTCTCATAGACTTTTCAACATATTCTGCCTACTGTGTTGATCCCACTAGTGTGTAATTAGTGCCTATAGTTGGGCTGTCATCTTAGTCATATTGACCCAACAGGTGAGGAGAAGATCAAAAAAATAATGGAACCCAGATGCCTGGATCAGATTTAACCTTTTCCCCAAACTATCTGAAACTCACGAAATAATTTTTAAATATTTATAAGTGAAAAGAATTTGGTATATTTTTATTCTTCTTGATAGCATCATATATATTTATTGGTATCCATAACAGAAAGAAAAAAATTTGAGAGGAATAAATTTTTAAAAGAAGTTAATTTGTTGTTGATATAAGATATTTTGTTTTCTCTCAAAAACAAAATTATTTTTATAATTTTAAATCTTTTATTTACTACAGAAAGAAAATTTCAATTAAGTTCTACTAGTCTCAAATGCCTGATAATGTCTCCTCCAACTGAGAGTTTTAGTTAATCTGGAATAGGGAGCAGGAATTTTCTCCATCCAGTAGAGAAGGCATCAAACTTCCATCCCAGGGTAAAACAGAGAACAAGAACACATAATCTTTCAGGCTGGGCAGCCCTTTTCTGATGGTTTACAAAAGGGCCTATTTGGTACTCTTGTCGATTTAGACTGATAACCATTCCAGAACCCTTTTTACCAGACCGATACTAACTGAGATCACATGTGCATTTCAGTTTTCTTTTACCAAATGTTCAAGGGATGTTCCAAAACAGCATGAAATATAATGTAGTGATCATTAAATTCTACATTTAATATTTTGGTTGTATCTGAGGGGAGCAAGATCTATCCATGCAGGCCTTAGAAAGGTGTTTTTTGTTCAGACTCTCTCCTTTCCCTCATCTTTCTCCCAGTTGTCATTGGGTTCCCTTCAATCACCTTTTCTTTAGGCCACTCTCCACACAAGATACACTATCTTTCTGTCACAAGTTCTGAGACGCAGACCTGGTCTCCTCTGTTCTGCAAACTCCACCACCTCAGACTTGGTTAGGAAATAAAATAAGACGATCTCTGTTTAACCTTCCTCTGAGCCAGCGGACCATGCCAAGAGTGGATATTGTAGGTCAATCAGGACACTCTTCGCCAGCAATGTCAAAACTCACCTCCCTTTTAAATACTTGAAGGTTTGCACGCCTTATCACAGGGAGGGTTTGTTTTCTTTCAAATACAACAGTTTGTTCTTCAGAGCAAATCCCTACTTAATCTTCATGAATGTGTAATAACTTTGACCTCTATTTCTTGTGAAATAATACCTCGAAAATTCTGGCATTAAAAGCTCATGGCTTTTGGGGGATTGGCTAACTTCAGTTAGCATTATCTTCTCTAATTCCATCCATTTACCTGCAAATGCCATGATTTTATTCCCTTTTATTGTTGAGTAATATTCCATTGTGTAAATATGCCACATTTTTTTATCCATTCATCTACTGAAGGGCATCTAGGTTGGTTCCACAGTTTAACCATTGTGCATTGTGCTGCTAAACATTGATGTGACTGTGTCCCTGTAGTATGTTATTTTTAAGTCCTCTGGGTATCGACCAAGGAGAGGGATAGCTGGGTCAAATGGTAGTTCCACTCCTAATTTTCCAAGGAATCTTCATACTGCTTTCCATATTTGCTACACCAATTTGCAGCCCCACCAGCAGTGTATGAGTGTACCTTTTTCCCCACCTTCTTGCCAACACTTATTGTTGTTTGTATTCATAATAGCAGCCATTCCAATTGGAATGAGATGAAATCTGAGAGTAGTTTTGATTTACATTTCTCTAATTGCTAGCAATGATGAACATTTTTTCATATATTTGTTGATTGATTGTATATCACCTTCTGAGAAGTGTATGTTCAGGTCCTCGGCCCATTTATTGATTGGGTTATTTATTGTTTTTGTGTAGCTTTCTGAATTCTTTACATATCCTAGAGATTGGTGCTCTATCTGATGTGAGAGGGGTAAAAATTTGCTCCCAAGATGTAGGCTCACTGTTCACTTCACAGTTTGTTTCTTTTGCTGAGAAGAAACTTTTTAGTTTGAATTCATCCCATTTATTGATTCTTGATTTTAATTCTTGCACTATGGAATTCCTATTAAGAAAGGTGGGGCCTAATTCCACATGATGGAGATTAGGGCCTACTTTTTCTTCTATTAGACACAGGGTCTCTGGTTTAATTCCTAGGTCCTTGATCCATTTTGAGTTGAGTTTTGTGCATGGTGAGAGATAGGGGTTTAATTTTATTTTGTTGTATATGGTTGAGGAAGCTTATTCATAGTGGGGTAGGGAGGGGGATCATAGGAGAAATAGATGAACTCTAGATAAGGCAGAGGGGTGGGAGGGAAAAGGAGGGGGCATAGGGTTAGAAATGATAGTGGAATGCGATGGACATCATTATCCAAAGTACATGTATGAAGACATGAACCAGAGATATGAAATATTTGTGCTCTATATGTATAATATGAATTGTAATGCATTCTACTGTCATATATAAATTTTTTAAAAAAGAACAACTTTAAAAAAAAAAGCTCATGGCTTTCTTGGCTGGCTTTTATTACAGAGGTCCACATATTGGTTGAAAATGTTCCTGTCTGAGTCGCTGAGGATGAATCTTATCAGGCTCAAAGAGTGTCCCTCTGACTCTCTGACATTCTTGTTTCTCCCTTGACAGCAGATGTGACTTTTACCTGATGCAGATCCTGCTGGCCTCTGTAAATTAAACCCAAGTAAGTTCTCTTTTGGACAACCCCAGACCAAAAAACAGAAGCTGGTTTATATGATCCAGGCATATCTTCCACATCACAGCTCCTGTTACACTGCTAACATAATGAAACAATTTCATAATCCTCTAAGTACTTGAAGAAAAGCATGTTTATTGATCCAAAAGATTATTAAGCTAGATCAGAGGTCAACAAATTTTTTATATAATGTTTTAGAAAATAAATAGTTATGGTTAGGATATGAGGTGTCCCCCAAGAGCTCATGATTAGATGATGAGATCTGTAATGTAATTAGTGGATTAATCCATGAGCTGGATTAATAATTTGAAAGAACTACTATGTTATACGGTCACTGTGGGCAGGTGGGGCATGGCTGCAGGAGGTGGGTCACTAGAAGTCTGCCCTGGGGGATTGTCTCTTGTCCTCTTAGCTCCTCTCTTTCTCTTTCTGTCCTTCCCAGCTGCCATGAGGCAAGCAACTTTCTTCCACTGCCACTCTCCCTCCCATGATATTCAGTCTTACCTTGGTTCCATAGCAATAGAGTTGACCAAGCATGAACTAAATCTCTGAAGTCACAAACCAAAATAAACTTTTCCACCTGTAACTTGTTCTTGTAGATCATTTTGGTTACAGCAACAAAAAGCTTACTAACACATGTAATCTGTCACAGCTACTCAGCGTCTTCCCATTGTATCTTGAGAGTACACATAAACAATATATAAATGAATAAATGTGGCTGTGTTCAAATAAAAGTTTCTTACAAAAACAGATATTGGACTGAATTCAGCCTACAGACTACAGTTTGCTAAACTTTGCTCTTAATAATTATTCTAGATTCTAAATTTTAAAAGACCTTAGGTTTTCAAATACTACAATCAAAAGAATATGGAGGTAGCTACTAGGATAGATCTATCTACTTACAAAATGTGAACTTAAAAAAATAGGATTTCAATTGAGAAATCAAAATGATTAAGAGAGACTTACCTGCCTCTTTTAAATACTAATGAGCTAATTAGATAAAATTAATAGTTATAGAAATTTATCAAAATAAATTTAATGAAATCAGTTTAATGAATTTCACTAAACTATGCAATCAATTATCAGGGAACACACATTCTTTTCAAGCATTATATGACTTTCAGACATCCACATCTACCTCTGCCCCACTACTCAAAGGCCTTCCTCCTTGCTTTCTGTGATCTGACTTAGAAACACAGAATGCCTTGACAGCTCTGAGACCTCCCAACTACTTGTCTTCTCCATTAAGGCTGAAAACCAAAACTGGGCCGTGAAAATTCCTATGCACTTAGAAAGCTGTTTAGACTTCCGCCCCACCCCACCCCCCAAAAAACACTAAGAGATTGTCCCTTTTGCTAAACATGTTGAAACTATCCCTTCACCTGAGACAAATTCCTTAAACTCTTATATAAACTTCATAACCTAAACCTCTTGTTTCAGACATACCAAAGTAGAATATCTTTCTCTCACCATCTGTGGCAAGGATCACTACAACACCCTGACAGTATATTTCCTTGAAAAATGCCTTTGGACTGATCAAAAGATATATACAGAGAATTTCAAAACTTAAGAAAACATTTAAAATATGTAGTTCTGTAGTTCACATACCTTCTTTTACAGATGATAAAAATGTGCAGAAAAATTTAGTAAATAAACAGGTCCACTAACTCCCTCAATCCAAAAGTGTCACAATTCAAAAGTTTTATCACAAAACTGAGAAAGTAAACACAACAGGCACATCTCTGTTTTTCTAGTTCCTAGCAAGATAAACAGAGTAGACATTCAAAAAAAATAAATATATGGCAAGTACTTGAGAATATTCTCCATTAAACAGATAACAGGAGTGAAGGTATTTAAACACTAAAAATTTCTAGCACAGTCTTTCTCATTTTCATTTGTAATATCCATTATTAGCATGCAAAGATATTTGGCTTTCTTACACTCCAAAGTTATGTTTCACAGCTGTGTTTTTTGTAGCTGTGAAATTTGGTCTTCTGATTACATCTTAGCTGTTTACATTTTAGTTGTGAAAAGGGTTTTGTTTTTAGCTAGCTAGCAAAACTTCTGTTACATCAGTTTCAAAAATTGTCATATCCAAAATAGCAGCTTTAAATATATATCAAAATGTACTTTGATTTTTCATATGTGATGATATCTGCCATGTAATGATTAGTTAGGGTAAATATTTAAAGTGCTTTACTATTTTTCCAATAGAAATATCTGTTATATTCTGAATAAAGAAATATCCAATGTAAGAAAAATGGCACAGGGTCTTTGCTGTTTCTACATCAATAAAGTACATAGAAAATTCTGTTCTGAGGCAAAGTTCATATGTATATGAGCACAAACAAATATTTTTCCAAGGAACAAACTAACCCATGTGTAGCTTAATGTGAGTAGCAATACTCAATTTAAACCAATGTAACTTGCTTAACAGGGCTAAGGAGTCCAAGGTATTGATATGCTAAGAGATGTCCCTGGTCCATCAGTTGGGAGCAGGTGGAAAATGCTGATTCTCAGGACTTATGCCAGTGTTCATAAATCTGATTTGAACACCAACTCAGGGATTCACCCTTACAATGAATCTAAGAAGCATTAGCCCATTATTAGAGATTTTCAGTCACAATTTGGGACATAATTGCAAACTGTGCCTTTAAGATAGGAACAGGACTGGTTGTTCATAAATACTCCATGATGTTTGTATTCAAATTTGTGACATTGCTAGTGTAGTCAAATTTGGGGGTGATAATTCTTACTACCCTAATACTCCATCACTGACACTATATTTGGAAATCCCCTTTTGGATTTGGTAAGACTCACAAATCAGTGTCATTACATTATAGTTTTGCCTCCTTTTGAACCAAAAACAGCTTTTCACACTGATTTTACTTAGAACACTAAGCCAAATAACACTGGGTTCCTTCCAAAATCAAATCCATTTTCAAGTATAAATATTTGCTCTCTTTGGGAGTAATAAAAACATTGGACTGTAGGCTCTAAAAAAAACTAAAAAAAGAATTCAAAAAAATGAACAATGGTTGTATAATTGTTATGTGGAAGTGGCTCCTTTAGAGAGAAAAACTCTCACTTTTATGTACAAGTAAGTTCTGGCATTTTTTTTAAACAGGGTGCCCCCTAAAGACTTCACCAATTAGCAGGATAGCCTGCTGAAGACAAGTGGTGCTTGGCTATTGCTGCCTTAGCAAGAAATGCATGAAGTTTACTATTCTGCCCTTCAAAAATGGAATCTTCGTGAAGGAAAGGAGATGTTTCCCTCACCAGAATACGGAAGTAAGCAGACATTACATTTTTCAATAGTCTCAACCCTTTAATAACAAACAAGCTCTATTGTCACAGGAAGGAAGAAAATGGGTCCTTTGTGTGTAGCCAGGGAAAAGGAAGACTACTGGCCCTTGTGAGTGAATTCTGAGGAGTCAAATGTAGGACACTAGATTCTGAGATGGAGGGTACCTTCCAGCCTGGCATATCTGTAGGGGTTTCTTGGGTGCTATATGATATTAAAGGATGGGTGCCAAGATCTGAGTTATGGTGAGATCACTCTCATTCAAAAGGATCTTCCTGGCTTAGAGTTCTGTGCAGTGGAACATGGTGATAGGAAACAATGCCACAAGACCTCAGAAGACCCAAGACACCAAGTTCTTAAAGGCAAACAGTGGCCATGTGACTTCTTCAAGGACTCTGAAAATCTGCAGAATTCTTGGATAATTCAAAGAAAGGGAAGGGAACATTCTGACATTGTGATATTGAAGTTTGTGCCTATCAAAAATATAAGATTTGGGGCTGGGGCTGTAGCTCAGCAGCAGAGCGCTTGTCTAGCATGCATGAGACACTGGGTTTGATCCTCAGCACCACATAAAAATAAACAAATAAAATAAAAGCATTCTGTCCATCAACAACTACAAAAAATAAAAATTAAAAAAATAATAAGATTAAATCTAGTTCTGATTCAACTCAAAATATAAAACAGCAATGAGAGTGCCTGCATTCCAAGTTTTATAGAGATCATGTCTAGGGTATAGTTTTCAATTCAAGCCTTTTAAAGGTGGTAAATAAATATGCTCATAGGTAAACTGTTGTCAAGCTGGTCAATTTTATGAATAGTGACTTTAGAAGCCATTAAAGTGGGAGAACAGACTGAAGTAGTACAATGCTGATCTGTGGCCTAGAATAAAGTGGTCCAAGTGAGGAAAATGTAGCCCAAAGAATGAGTAATGTGTGATATCCAATTAGTCTTTTAACTATGTTTAGAGCTCCTTCTGCATCATGCATAAAGAGCTATTTCTGCTCTTTTGCATAAAGAACACAAAAGCAAACCAATAGCTGCCTTTCTAAAATTCTTGTTTTTGAAGAGAGAGATAAATAAACATGCACTCTAATATGTGGTATCAATGGAAGAAACAAAGAAAGTGATTAAGCTAATGGTTTGGGTAGTTGGATCTGACAATTTACCACCCAAATCTTCTTGGGCAGTTATACAAAGTCTCTCATTAGGATTTAGTATGAGGTATCCCTCAAAAGCTCATGTGTGAGATGATGCAATAAAGTTTAGAGGTGAAATGATTGGGCTATGAAAGCTTTAACCTAATCAGTGCATTAATCTACTATAGGGATTAATTGTGTGATAACTGTAGGCAGGCAGGGTTTGGCTGAAGGATGTGAGTCAATGAGAGCATGCCCTTGGGGTTTATATTTTGTCTGTGGTGAGAGGGCCGCTTCCTCCCCACCCTCATTACCTGGTAGTCATGAGCTACTTTCCTCCACCACACTCTTCAACCATGATGTTCTGCCTTACTTCGAACCCTGAAGAATGGAGCTAGCTGTCTATGGACTGAGACCTCTAAATCTGTTCTTCTCGAGTCTTTTGGTCACAGCAGCAAGAAAAGTTGACTAAAACATCACTGAATCTCTTTTTATTCATCAGTAGTAATAGAATTGGAGCATTTAAGCATTCAGTAGATGTTAGCTGCTACTGTTTTTAAAAATGTAGTTAATATTAATGAGATAATATGTTAATTTCACCCATAGATTCATAAAAAGCCTTCAGCAAGAAATACATTTGAACTTTATCCTACAGGATGAGTGAAAAAAAAAAAAAAGAGAGAGAGAGAAAAGAAGAACATTCCAGGCAGAGAGAACAACATGGATAAAGTCACAAAAGAGTTAGTATGTGGTCCATCCTGGAATGAAAAGGATTTTAAAGCAATCATATTAAAAGATCTGAGGAAAGTGCCTGAAATGAAGATAAAAATGTAAAGCAGAGCTGTGGTACAGTAGGTCACATAACCTGTAAACAATAAGGAACAATCAAATATTTTAAACCAAAGAGGATGTAATAGTCCTTTTTGTTATTATGTTGAAATACCTTTATGTACACTATGAAGACAAAAAGGTTTACTTACAGTTCCAGAGGTACAAGGTTGTGGGCTGCATCTGGTAAATGGACTTTTTATGGAAGAGTGCTTAGGTGGCTCAGGACATAGCATGGCAAGAAACAGGGTGGGTGTGAGTGTGTGCATGTATCTTCCAGTCTCTCTTATAACGTCACCAAGATGCAGTCATGGGGACCCCATGGTAATGAACTTATCTAATCCTAATCAGATCCCAGAGGCCACACTTCTAAACACCATAGTCATATTAAGTTTCCACTTCCCAATGGGGATTCAATTTCAACACATGAAATCTATAATCCTTTCTATTTGCCAGACACTTTTCATGTATCATGTCATTTTGCTCTTAAGAGACACTGAAGTATAGCAGAGGAGCAGGATTTTGGAAGGATCATCTTGGTACCATGACAGGACTGGTAGAAGACAAGTCAGTAGTACAGGGAGTATAGAACAGGAAATATCTAATGAAAATCAAGCAATACACATCCTGAGAAAGCCACAGAGGATCCTCAGATTAGCAGGTCACTGTCTTTCTTCCTGTTTTTTATACATGCATCTAAGAACATATGTATATATGAGAAGGTCATATAACTGACCCTCAGTCTTCCCATTCATAAAATAAAGATCACAATGGCACGACCCATGAAAAGTGTCTGGGAAGTGGAAAGAGCAGTATAAACATTGCTGTTTGTTATCTTGTTCTTTCCTATTTTATCAATTATTTTCCCCGTTTTGGTTTAATCATTGTCTTCTTCCCTTGGCCAACTCTTTCTAGATCACCAAAATTCCAGTTGTAATTCTTCAGGCCTATAAAGACTGCAGAGTTCTTCATTTTTGACTCAATATATTTTAATAGCTTCCTCTTACATTAGGAGAATGTCCAGAGAAAATAGGGTGTAATCTCAGTACAGAAGGAATCATGTGATCTTCTCTGCATTAAAGAAATTCACATTCCATTAGGAGAAAGATGAGAAGTATACAATATAGTAAAATATGATTTGGAATAAAGTAAAATACAGTGAGAGAACTTACAACCAAGCACTTCAATGGCTCTAATTTACAACCCAACACTTACCAAATTTCCTGGGCAAGTTGCTGAACCTTGGCTAGGCAGAAACATGCAATGGTTAGGCACTGATCTGGAACTGAAATGAGTGGTTTCTCACCTGACTCCATCATTTGCTCACTGTTAGCTTTGGACAGATTACTTTACTTCTCTGTTTCTCCAAGATTTAATCTATAAAATGAAGATGATAATAATAGCATTCATTTCCTGCATGTGCTATGTAGATCAAATGAATCAGAACATGTTAAGTGCTTAAAACACTGCCTGGCACAAAATATACAGTTCATAAAATGTTAGCTATTTTAAATATTTCTGAACCTCAGTATCCTTCACTACAAAATGAAGATAGTAATTGTCATAAGCAATCTATTTTATAAAATTGTTGTGAGATAACCTACATGAAATAATTTACGTGAAAGTCAATTGTTGAGTATATAATATACTAAAATGTAATGTTATTTATAATATATAAGTGAACACTTATACCAGTAGCTAACAGACAATTTCTTCTCAAAGTGTCCTTTAGCCATCTTGTAAATAGGAATTCAATTTACAGTCCTTCCTAAAGGCACCAAAACTACAATGAAACCTTTGTTCTGTCTTGCTGGAGTTCTAATTAATTGAGGGAAATAACTAAAAGTATTATTAGTTGTTTTTAATAATTATTTGAATGAGTTTTCTTAGCCAATGAACCTGTGGGCATTGATGACCACATTTTTTAGATGATATTAGAGTAAATACAGGAAATTCAATCTTTTTTAAATGTTATCCACTTGGGATGTCTGTTGACATTTTGCAAAGCAAACCATAAATGTACTTAAACCTATGAGTAAAACATTAAAATTAAAAATCAGCCTATCTTTCCTCCGAGTTCCTTTTTCAAATGGCACAGAGAACTTTACACAAGCTCCAGGCACCTCTATATTCATTCCTAGGGGCAATGGTATTCAGTGCATCAAGCAGCCTGGTCAGGTACTGCTGAGTCAACCCCATTCTGGGACTTAACTTGCTTGTGAATGCAATGCACAGGCCTTGAGATGTCATTATTCCAAAGTTATGATAAGGCACTCACTTATACTGCTTTACAGGGAAAGAACCAGAGTTTAAAAAGCCAGAGCCACCAATTTATATTATGCTACTGTAACACTCTGGAGCAGAATCTCATTTTAAAAGACAGTGCCTAGAAAAGAAAAGGCTTTACTAGATTACTCCACAATCATGGAATTGGATCCTTTGAAACATGTTTCTTTTCTTTACCATCAGTACTTTCATTTCCATTAGAAATCACAGATGGGTACTAAGATAGCTATTTGTATATTTGTGTTACAAATAACTAAGATAGTTATTTGTAACACAAAGTGCAGCAGTGATCATCTCTTAATGGAAGAACTACCAATAAGTTACTGGATGGATGAACCTGCCTGGCTGACATGTCTTAGCTTGGACATGTTTACTAAATATAATTGCAGCCACAGTGACGAAAGTTAAAAGTGCATGATTCTATATTATGTTATTTGAATATAGAGCTACAAATTAGTTTATTGTGGGAAATTACCACTTTCTCAAAATCTTCAAAGTTCACTAGGAAACAAGAAGCTTGGATATGTTGTAATTAACTGGGAAAATGGTAGATGCTTCTATCAATACTTAGTTTGGCATTATTAAAGAATAAAATCTGTAACAGCAAAGCCCACATTTCACGAAGTGTTTCTGTAGGGGGAATATTAAAATCATAAATAGCAACATGCTTATGTGGTACACATTAGGTAGACTTTTTTCCAAGATGGCACAGAATCTTAACTAAGTTAAAGTGTAGCATTTATAACCCTTGATTTATAACCTTTATAACTTCTACCTAAGAATTTATCCAAAGTAAATTTCTAGTGCTCCGTTTACTAACTTTCCCTTCAGTTGAACATTTAGATGAAATTTCTGTTTCTAGAGTCATTTGCTAGAGGGTGATTTTGATTATTAGAACTCAAACTAGGGATGACATTCAAATCTCATGTATAGCAAGTGGATACAATTTTAAATAAATTTTTTAAAAAGCCTGTTCTACAGAAAGAACTAGGATTAGACAACAACACTCCTTTGATCTCAGTGTTATCACTCTTTACAGCTTCTCCACTCTGAACCACCCAGAAGGTAGTCTGTCTGTAAACATTTGTTTATTTCTTTCATGGCCATCTTGCATGTTATTACTGGGACAGCTGCTTTTAACAAAGAGAACTTTCAAATTGCCAGGAGAGTACTAGCAATTTTAAAATAAGTAAAGGCTCTAAGTAGCAGATAGTTCATAAACAGCCATTTAGAAGTCATTTAGAATTCCTGTTGCTTTCCCTAATTTTCAGCACACCTGAGAATCACTATGCTCATATCATGCTTTGCATGGAAGATGATGCTGTCTACCAGGTATATAATAAGTACTCCATAAAATGTGCTCAATTAATAAATGTTGGCAAAATCAACCACTGAACTCACTGCAACAGGTGAGGGACAACTTCCAAAAAAACTATAAACATGTGTTCTTCTTTTGTTTGGCTGTATATAGTTGCAGTTCAACACTACATAGTATTTCACAACAGATTATAGATTTAGACTCTGAGGAGAAATAAATGAACATATTTACCCTACAACAGCCATTCACAGAAGATTCACATTATGTATGATAATACTCTGGGCAACAATTAACCCAGTCCCTGGATTCAAGAAGCTATATATCAGAAACAACTCAAATGACCTTCAATTGGTAGAAGGATAAATAATCTGTGGTACATGTGAACAATGAAATACTACACAGCAATCAAAAGGAGCAAACTACTAAAACATCTAACAACACATATGAAGGTCGAATTTATTATGCTAAGTGAAAGAAGCCAGAGGTGAGCAGAGTGACAGCGTACAGTGTGATTCCATTTATATGACTTCAGATAAAGGCAAAAGTACAAGGATGGGTGATAGATCAGTGGCCTCAGGGTTCAAGGGTATGGAAAATGTTGACTACAAAGGGCAGTATTTGTAGTGATAAGGGAGCGTTCTGTTTCCTGTTTGTGACAGTGGTTACTTGACTCCATGCATTTGTAAAACTCAAAGAATTGTGTACCCCTTTAAAAAATGAATATTACTATATACAAATTAAAAATTAAATTAGAAAGTCTAAAAGTTTCACACTGTTCATACTTTTCTTTCTCAGGGAAAATTCTCTTCTCAATACTCATATTAAACTCCTTCTTATCATTTTCAAGAACTTAACCTTAGCTTCAATGTCAGCTTTTCTACAATGCCATCCCAAACTTCTCTGTTTCCTCATTTTTCTTTTACTTTCTCATCTTTTAGGAAACAAGCATTACTTATATAGCTAAAACTCATATGGCTGAAAGAGCCCTCTTTTCCAAAGATAACCTCCATCCTGAAATTAGCATGCATCCTTCCTCACCATGTTCTTATATTTTCAGTGCATGGATATATACCCAACATTTTTTTTAATTTTTTTTGTAGTTATAATAACAGATGAAAATATTATGTTAATATCACATGTATTCTTTTGCAATTGCTTTTTTCATCCAATATTGCTTTCAAGAGAATCCATTCATTTTTAATTGCTGTAGAATATTCACTGTTGGAATGCACTCCTAACAGATATTTAAGCTGTTTTCATGTTCCATGTTACACTGTATCAGATTTATCTGTATCTTTTTGTCTGGCAAGATGATGAGCAACTCCAAGATAGAAACCATTTAGAATTCCTGTTGCTTTCCCTAATTTCCAGCACACCTGAGAAACACTATGCCCATACCGTGCTTTGCATAGAAGATGATGATCTCTACCAGGTACATAATAAGCACTCCATAAAATGTGCTCAATTAATAAATGTTGGCAAAATATTATTTAAATTTTTCTGCTCTCTACTCACTTCTTCATGGTGTAAGTGTTGAGTGGGAATTTCCTCAATTCTCAGTAGAAAATCCTTTAAGTGTTCCAGTGTCACAGTAGAGATCTATGAAACAAGGTCACTTCGCAATTCTCCTGCTTTCCCATTAGAGGATCTCAAAGCACTACAGAAACCGCGATTTTCTCCTGTGACATTTTTCCCATCAATGTGCTTCAAGGGCAGTTCAGAGCAGTATTCAAAGCTTGTGTACCTTTTACTATTGTCTGTAAAGGGCCAAGAACCCAGATTCTGAATGTAAATAACAGTAACAAATTATCCCCGATATCTATCTCTCTCTCTCTCTCTCTCTCTCTCTCTCTCTGAATAGGTTTCTCTTTTCATGGGTTCTCCTTCATGCTCTTAGTCTGCTTACCTGTAAGTTGGAGGAGCTGACATTTAACTGCCCACCTTTAACAGATCTCGCGCACCACTCTTCCCTGACCACGTGTAGGCACTTCTCTCTCTAAGTAGATCTAAAGCTGCCTGATCTCCTCCCCAATGCTTTATGGCTTAAGGATATTGCAGCCTTGATGTAGAAGACAAATACACACCATAGCTCTGGGCATACAAAACTATCTATCATCATCCTGCCTCTGGACGTGGCCAGTACATTGTGTGTTTCAGAGAAATTAATCTGGTGTTTAAGGGGGAGAAAGCCATTACAAAATCAGTCTGCGTGCAGAACCTTCCCTCAGACCCTGTAGCAGCATTTTCGACGCCTTTCGCTTCTGTACAGCTAAACTCAAACTTGACCTTCGAGAGGATTTCAAGGAAGGGAGCCTTCCTCCCTTTCTCGCGCCTGCTCCTAGAGCACTAGGAGGCCTCCCTCTGGGAAATAGCTGCCTTGGACCCGAGCTCGGGGAACCGCACGCCGAGGCGCGCGGACGCGCCAGGGAAACCGGAGGCGGTGGCTGCGGCAGAGGACGGGTGGGGGGGGAAGGGAAAAGGCTGCGGGAGCGGACAGGAGAAGGTGGAAGGAGGAGGAGGATCTGTCTGCATATGCATGAGGCACCCAGCACTGCCCTCTTCCCCTGCAGCTGCTCGGGTGGAGGCAGAGGAGGAAGGGAGGAGGGGAGGGGAGGAAATAAGGAGGGGGCGGGGTAACAAGAACCGCATCTAAAGCAGAGTCTGGTTTGGAGAACGGAAGAGGTGATTTGCATGGAGCCTGGTGATTGGCTGATGGCTGGAGGCTGGGTCTGAGAGGCAGTCCCTGAATGGTTTAACGAAGGAAATTACAGTATTCATTGGGCTTAAGAAAACTGGGGCGGGCCTGTTCGGTGCAATATGAAATATGGCCGCCAGGAGGCGCAGTACCCTATCTTTGTTCTGGTTAAAAGCTCCTTTTCTCTCCCCCCACCCCCGTCAATCCCCGCCCCCACACCCCCTCCCACAGACACACAGGCAGAAAGCGCAGAGAAACCCTGTGATCCAGTCAACTGGCACTGCCCCGTCTATTAAGAAAGATGAACACTCCTTTTTCTTCCATCTCCTTCATGAGAGACCACTTTTCATTTCAGATTATCACATCAATAAATATTCTTCGAGGAATAAAAAAGGCACTTTGCCAAAAGATAAGAGAATATATATGAAATGTGTGGACTGTGCAGAAAGACAATACACGAAGGCAGGAGAATAGGCACACATATGTAAATACGCACATAATCACCCAGAGAACACAAAACACGAAGGGCAGACAGACGGGACACCCGAAGAGAATACATATCACTCAAGGTCCTCATAGACCGTGCATGTCTCCCACACACCGAGGCACACACCCACTAACCCGCACACACACTCTCTGCCAACACACACATACACACATACACAAGGACCTCAGAAAGGCATCCAAATGCATTCACACTCAATGAGAAGGGTGCCGAGAAAATATTAGAGCAGAATTAAAATGATTCATCCCCTCCCCCTCCACAAATATTCAAGCGGAATGATTCTATTTGCATAATACTCATATGCGCAGGACGCCGCACGGGCAAAAAAAAAAAAAAAAATGGCTCCATTTGAGGCACACCAGAGAATGCATGTATACAGGATACACGCACGCACGCGCGCGCGCCTGCGGGCGAGACACACCCACAGCCTGTGTCCTCCGCCCACGGGCACAGGCTGAGGACAGATGCCATCAACCGCGCTCAGAACAGCGCTCAGTACAGTTGTCCAGAAAACAGTATTGTGTGTGTGTTGGGGGTGGGGGAGAACACCCTACTCAGCAATGGAAGCACTGCTATAGAACCCAGGTTTTCGAAACACACACACACACACACACACACACCGCTGTTAGTTGAGTTCAAGGAAATAACAGATGCACAATAGATAACAGTGCTAGAATATGTCATCAGCTTAAACAATACTTTGAAATTACTTCAGTCTGAAGATAGCTATCTGAGGTACTCCTGGGGAGAAATTTTAAAAAAAAAAAAAAAAACCTTAGGAAATGAAAACCTTTTCATTTATTCTGCTTTTTCTTTATTTTCTTTTTCTTTTTTCTTTCCTTCTCATATTTGAAGACAGAATAGAGAGAGAATTCCTCTTTCTCCAAAGGAGGATAACTCTGTTTTTGTTTTGCGAACCCATAAGCTTTCCAGTTGATTTCCCAGGGAAGAAGGTGCTAGGGAGCAGACCTCTTTGCAGCCTCCCAGCCAGACAGCACCACAAAAGGCATTATTACACATCCCAAATAAGGAGGGCTGTCTATATATTTACAGATCTGTTCAAATATTTAACCTCTTAACTTGCTAAATATCCCCCTCTTCTTTCTTTCTCTCTTGCAGTCTCCCCTCTCCCCGCTTTTGGCCCTCTCTCCCCTCCTATTCCTTTCTCTTTCTAAAATAGTAGGGATGGAAAGTGCCTTTTTGGAATCCAAAATGTGGCCAGGGGCATTGGGCTTTACCTGACTCCATTTGAATGTCAATTTCGTTTCCAGGCAATTCCTCCCCCCCCCCACCCCTTCCAGCTAAAGAATCAAGTTTGAATCACCAGAGTTACCTTTTTAAAAGTACAAGATTTGGTGTTGCCCCCTCAGTTTTTAAACTGCTTTGGCAAAGCATCCACTGAAGCAGAGGGATTTTCCTTTAGAACTTTCTAGTCCCCCCAATCAGTGATGCTTTCTTCTGCATTGAATTTCCTGCTCCTCAAGGGACTAGTAGAGGAACAAATTTATAGGGGTGAACCTTCCAAAGAGAGAGTTTCAGCAGTGTTTGTCAACCCAACCGAGGCCAGCAGTGAGGCACACGTCTATTACAGGGACCAAGTTGGAATGCAATCACTGTGAATTTCTTACTGCTGGAATCTTTGTGGGGCTAATAAAGTCATTCTGAGGGCCAGTGTAAGATATGAAGCTAGATAGCAATGGACCTTTAATGAAGCAGAAATGTTAGATTTCCCAAAAATTGAGGTGTCTTTATTGGATTCATAAAGGGGGAAATAAAAGTTGTGCCTAGGCACAGCAGAAAGTTGCTGTTGACCCTCTACCTCCAAAGGCACTGTCCATGCCCTACCCTGAAGGCAGGTACTCTGGATGGGTTTGGGTACTTCCAACTCACTCAGGATTCTGCTCTGACACAGCTTAAAGTGGCCTTAAAGGGGCTTTCCATGTCATTCTTGAATTTTTTTCATAAGGAAAAGAATTAAGAAAAACCCGATGACTAAAGTTGACTGCAGAAAGTGAAACATAACTCTTGGCAGATTTCCTCTGGCCTAAAATAATATTTATGTATTTGTTGGTTTATTTCTGGGTAGTGAAAAAAAATTAAACAGTAGTTTGACAAGACAATTAGTTCAGTCGTTCATTTATTTCAGCCTTCACTTTCAAGGGTCTCTTAGCGTCTGAGGTACCCCACCCGGGAGCCGACAGAATGCACCTTAGAAGAAAACAGTTCACTTCAAATGCTTTGCCTCAGCAAACTCAATTTGGGGTTGCATCTCTCACTTTTCCAAGAACCCTGGCCCCGGGGTGTCCTCCAGTTGCTGATTCTTCGGAGTTCCTGAACACACCAGTTTGCGTAGTAATGACCTTTGCTTACTGCTGCTGTTGGGGGCTGGCATCGCTCACCAGGGAAGCTGAATCTGAATCTTGAAGCTGAATCTTGAATCTTGGGTAAGGCGAAAGAGGTAATGTTTTAAAGGAGGCTTACTGAAAACTTTTACAATTGGCAGATATGAGAAGGAAGAAGGCTAAGTGAGTTTCAAAACAATGACCTCCCCCCCAAAAAAGTATGCTTATTTTTTGTGTCCTGGTAGATCTGGGATAAAAACATGGGCGCTGGATTATTATGAGGTGCATTCTATAAAATGCCATCCGTTTGCACGACTGAATGATTGTCAGGACACCCCACACACATACCTCCCATTGCACAAACCTCCTAAGAAAACTGCGGGCTGTTTATGAGTTTTCTAGTTTTTCCTGATCAGAAATGATATTCATCCAGAGACATTATCTAAATCTGCGGAAGAATGAAGGCTGCTTGTCATGCGTCCTTCGTTTCCAGTAATATGTGCCACCCAATTAGAAGCAATTTAGGCAATCAAGACTGTATGAGAGAAGGGAACGTTAAAAATAGGTTTTCTATAGCCTCAGAACTCTAATTCGGAAGAACATCTAAAATTACATATGTTTCGTTTCTTTATGTAAAGTAAATATATGAGTGTCTCCTGTTCGCTCTTTTTTCCTCCATGGTTACTCTCCCATTGCCTGTCTGCCTTTTGAGAATTCATAACAGAAGTGAAGTGTAAAGTTCACATAAAAAGAGACTAAGGTTGTTAAGAAGTCTGAGACAAAATAAAGGAAAAGAGAGAGAGAGAGAAAGAGAGAGAGAGAGAGAGAGAGAGAGAGAGAGAGAGAGAGAGAGAGAGAGAGAGAGAGAAAGGATTTGGGTAGGGCTTGGGACAGCCTTTCCCCGGTTTCTCGCTGTCGGTGATAGTGGTTATCTGACTTTCATCCGCGGTAGCCAGGAAAGTCCCAAGAGTAGAGCCCAGAGATGGGAGGGAGTCCATTACCGGAATCCAGTCGTATGATTCCGAGGCCCCGTGCAAGTCAGGATAACTATGAGCACTCGAGTTCATTTGGAGGGTTAGGAATGCAGAAAAAGAGCGAGAAGGATGTATGAGGGGAAAGGGGTAAGTAAAAGCAGAAACATGTTTCCAAACGTAATGGGGAAAGTACAAATTAAAACAAAATATATATATATAAACTCAAGAGTATAGCAGAAGTGAGGATGCAGAATTCGGGCATGTCACTTGTCACCCATTTCCTTCCTTCCCCAGGGTGAATTCCAGGTGTGTCAAAATTCGGACCTGTGGCCAAGTGGCCGACTTCATCTCCTCTTCTCCTTCATCTCCTGTCTCTCTCTCCCAGCCTTGAGGTTTTGAGAGGCGATTTCATTCTCCCGAACTCTCAAAGAGTGCTGTAGAGTGCGGGTCGGAAAACTAAGGAGAGTGAAGTTGGCAGAACTTCCGGAAGTGCAGGGCCAGTGCCTGCACTTTCTGCTGGCGCGGGATTCGGAGTCTGGTCCTGAGCCTTTGATCCCTCTAGCCGTAGGTCCAAGTTCTCTGCGCGTAAGTTTTGCTCAAAGTCAAATGCCTAGACCCTGAACCCTGAAATTCCTGGCAGGGTATTGCAGGACAGAGAGGAGTTGTAAGCTGAGCGGAGTTCTGGGCCCCGAGTGGCAGAGTGCACCCAGGCAGGCAGGAAGCCGCCCCTGAGCTCCGCCAGCGATCCTGCCGTCTCCGGGGTGCTGGAAACCTCCAGAGTGGAAAGTAATCTCTTGGCAGTAACCCTTTTCCAGA